AGCCAAAATTTTCACGAGACCGTAGGTGATACTCAAGAGCGCGGGTACGCTGAATTTGAATAGGCAAGGTTGAGTATGGGCAGGGGGTCATTACTGTAAAATTTCAGCCTCCTTGACCCCGTGGTTCGCGAGATACTAATTTACTCTCTCTTTCGAGGATTGCTTGGAAGCAAGCTGATGATATATATGTATATATATATGTGTGTGTGTGCATACAAATGTGTATATGCATATGTATACATATTCTTTTTTGCTTATTTTGTACCTGTATTCATTCTGCTTTTTTCAGTGTCCGATACTGACGAAATTGTATCGGCCCAGAAGTATCATCCGGAATTCGTTTATCAACATTTTGGCGAAAAGTAAGTCAAATTTGATTTTTTTTTCGACGAAATTTTTGTTGATTGCCCGACGCTGCTACTTATATTTCGTCTTGCAGCTTTTCTAGGAGTGCAACATTTATGAAAATTTCATGACTTCTGACATTCTCCTTACGTGTGTAATACGTATTACGAAGTAATGAGATCAAAGATCAACCGAGCAATTAAAGAAATTCTTAAGCGCTGTAGGAGTTGTGAAACATTTAACATTCTTTTTTTTTGGAGGGGGAGGGAGAGAAAATAAAAGGAAGCACAGAAATAACACTGTTTAAATCAGCTTTAAATTTGCAAAAACCTTAAATCTGCCCTAAATTCTTAGATCAGCTTCAGATTCATAGCTTGGCTTCCCATCTTTGAGGCTGACAACTTTCCCAGTTGATTTGACTAGGGTACTGCTCGTCGTTCCTAACTTATGGCAACTTTGAGGGGCCAAAAAATACATTGTGGTGCGAAGATGCGTTATGGTAAAACGACACAGTTAAGCTTAGAAACAACAGGTTTTGATCACATTTTCTGTGAAAAAAATGGAAAGTTATAATAAGAAGGAATAAAATAAAGAGAAAAAAAGGAAAAAATAAGGCAAGAAATGGAAAAAATTAGAAAATTTTAACATTCGACTTTACCTACTTGTGAAAATTTTGCTTCTGAGAATGTGAATAACCACGTGCGAATTTTCTGAAGAGCTGTCGCTCAAAAATAAATGGATCGGTCAGTGATTCTAACTGAAGATATATGGTTTTTGACAAGAAATTCTGCGCCATCTTTGCCTGGTGTGTGGGTACGTCCATGAACAGCACTTGTATCGGACTTTTGCGTCGATTTTTTGAGTAATCTCGTCAGGAACTTCATTGGTATTTGTTGATCGTTGTATTTTTTTGACTTGCGATTGCAATATTTTAGTGAGACAATCTTTGGCTACAAGGATTTGGAGGTGATTTTGCACCACACCGATGCATCGATGTACATTTATGTTCAACTAAAGTACACATCTGATATTTCATCAATAACGCCCGAATTCAAGGTTTCTTTTTTTGTTTTGTGCACCTCAACTTCCCAACGTTTACTCGTGAAATAACGTTAATAACGCTGTTCTAAGCGAGTAAATGCCACACCATTTAATATCAGTTATATATTTTTATTTTTTGGACAAAAATCCCCGCCTAATTTTTAATTTGAATTTAGTTTTTTAAAATTTCTATTTTTAATTTTCAATTATTCTGGTAGCAGTTCACTCGTAGCTAATTCCGTACTGCGTATTTTTTGTCCGAAATATCTGTACTTAATTTTTACTTTGAATTTGATTTTTTAAAATTTTTGTCTTTAATTTTTGATTATCGATAGTGACCACTTTGGTTGGCTAATTTCAGTACCGTTTTTTTAACCATATGCTAAGCATCTGGGTATTGCGTGTGATGAACAAACGTATGTTTAACATTAGGTTTAGGATGTGGTTATCTTGCTTTTTATCATGATTTTATTTTCCATGAGTATTACTCGTAAGAGAGAATGCAGAGCGAGTCCTCCCATGGCTTCTGAAATGATAGCGTATGTACGCGGTTGTGATGGCAAATGCTAACTAGGAATATCTAGCTAGGGACTAATGAGCTCGGAAGAGATTGACTGTGTTTGCTTCTCAGTAACAGATTGACCCGGTTGATTTTGCTAGCGATTGAGCTGGATTTTGTGATTTTCAGCCCGACGACATATTACTCAAATTGAGGGAACAACTACCGGCAGAGCAAATGTCTGCAATGTGCCCGACGATGGCCTCATTTAAAGCTCGTCTTGATGAACAGCGGCATTTCCAGCCTCATGGAATATTGCTATCCAAGTTTGCTTTTGGTACGGAAATAACTTTCATTTTTATGCATTTTTTGCAGCTATGCAATGCAGAAAACACATATTGGCGAGGGGTTGTCTGTGTGTGTGTCTGTGTATGCGTCTGTATCGAATTTTCATCTCGAAACTTACAAGAGCTACAGGGCTGAAACTTTGAGGACTTCATCTACGTGCACATTCAGCCTCCCATCCCCAAAATGGGCGCTTTTACCTGTGCGGTTTACTGTACGGGCCTGCCAAAGTCTTTGGCGGGTACGCTGCTAACTCGGGAATCAGAAAAGCTAGAAAGGTAAAACTTTAAGGTGCTCCCTGTTCACGTACGTCTTAATGAGTCCAGACACATCCCTCAGATGTGCGTGATTCCCATATGCGGGTCCGTGAAAGTTTTTTGCGTGTAAAGTGCTAACTCAGGAGCCTGAAAAGCTAGAATGCTATAACCTTAACGTTACATTTTCTGATAGTCCTGGTGGCCTGTATTAATTCCTTTAGCTAGAAGCATCTGCCCAAAAAAGCAGTGCCGTTAGCGAGAAAAATCTGCAGGAAAATATGCAAAAAACGCATCTTTGCAGCGGCAGTCGGTGCACTAGCCAGTTATTATTTTTCCTGGATTTGTTTGAATTTAGCGGTGCTATTGTTTGGCAAGTACATGTTGTTTAGATGAGCGCGAGATGCAGGTTTGGAAGGTGGATGAAAGTTCGCCAGCTTTCGATGCCTATTTGGCTCGAGTTCAGACACTTGCTTTATGGTACATTGAAGGTGCCGAGTACACTGATAACACCGATACACGATGGCAGCATTATTTCCTGTAAGTTGAACTTTTTTTT